CATATCTATCTATCTATCTATCTATCTATCTATCTATCTATCTATCTATCTATCTATCTATCTATCTATCTATCTATCTATCTATCTATCTAGATAGATAGATAGATAGATAGATAGATAGATAGATAGATATGCGCACTGGGGCTGTAAATATCTTACCTGTGATAGATTTCCTTTGAGTTGGACATTTGGGGTATGTGTACAGTATACTGAAGGTCTCCATGGACTTTTGCACTGACCCTGCAGCTGATTGTTCTGGAGCTCTAAATCTTTTGATTTTTTTTTTCATTTCAAGAAAACGATTCTTTTCCACTTGAGTTAATCCTGTTTGGAAATATACATTTATATTAATTAAATATTTTTAAAATTGAAACAAACAGCAATGATGGGTAAATACTAAAGAAAATCACAAATTTTATAAAAATTTTATTCACTTTGGGTTCCAAAAAACCATTATGCAAATAATTCAGCACTTTAATGGCTCTCATCTAAAGTGATGAAAGGTGTGAGATCCCCAGGCTTATCGCTATCCAGAAGAGACATAAAGAACTTGACATCTAGCCTCCTCATGATTAGAGTAACACAGAGTACTATAACAAAGAACTGGTTCCAGTAATCTGCTAATCATAAATAATTTTAATCATATATAAATACAATGAGATATAAGCCTAATCAATGCAGTGAAAGAGAGCGTATAAAGTTAGGAATATAAGCTGATGTTCAGCACAGCATATGTGTGTTGAGACAAAGAGGAACTGCAATAGAGACAGGAGTGAGCGTATGTGACTGTGCGTGTGAAAATGCAGTTACAGTTACTGCAGTTACTGGTAACTTTTCTGACACCTCCTGGTTAAAACCCAAAATTCAGAAGGATCGTGAGGCCCCGCTTTCATGGTCTGTATTCATACTGAAAATCAAGATCAAGCGAGCTTTTCCCCTTCTGCTCCATGGGAGGTTTCTGTCCTCCCTGAGCTCGCCTTATGCTGGGCAGACACTGTGCGTTTTTTTCAGTCGCGCGATTCAGCTCCTGCTCAAACTGTACGATTGACTTGCAGGGGTTAGAAGTTCGTAGGTCACGATGCAGGTCTCACACTATACGGCCTGATGCGACCTGAGTGCTCAAACTGCGCGTCCATAAAATGAAGATTATAACAGAAATTCTGTCGCTCGCTCTCCCTTTCTGTCTTTCACTCACACAGACACACCACCACCATCAACTTTGTTAAATTGCTAATCAAAAACATTGATCAGGCAGCTGTGATTGAGCAGCAATGTAAATCCAACTGTTTTCACGGTTGTTGTGGTCTTGATAAATTTTTGAGGCCACATCGAAAAGGCTTGGATGAGCTTTCCAAAGTTCTACAAGTGCCTCCATCGCTTATGTCCAGATCACACACTGCACTGCCGTGCTACTCCGTCTTTTTCACCGACATTTATATGTTTGCGCGTGCGCAGTCTGAGAAGCTGTCGCGACACACTCACGAGCGAGTGATTGTAAATTTGATTCTTTTTATTGAATCGAGTTTTAATGAGTCACTCACCAAAGTGAATCGGGTTTTTTGAGTCATTTGATTCACTCAGTCAGTTGACCAGAGAGTGCAAAAAAATGTACATTTTCACTCAAACTTAATTTGTTTCTCTTTTCATGTAAATCCTACTGCTAAGATGATAAAAGAAAACAACTATTTTATAGAGCAAAAAAGAGCAAAAACATTTCTAAAATTAAGCAATTTCCTATAAAAATTGCTTAATAAACATTTATTTTGTTTATTTTTATTTTATTAGTATTTTCCTTAAATGTGTCAAATATATACTTTCTCATCTAAATGTCCACTGAGCTGTGAGCCAGGGGGCAGTAATGCGCCTTAACATTGGTTGCCAACCAAGAAGAAGAAGAAGCTGTGATCCAGGAGGGAGGGGGTGAGTGAGTGAGTGAGTGAGTGATTCATTCCCTCTACGATTAAGCACAGGAGGGAGGGGGTAAGCGAGTCCTGACTGATTTGCTTACACTTACGATTCAACACAGGAGGGAGGGGGTTAGTGAGTCGTGAGTAGTGATGCACTAATCATGAACGAATCGTTCAATACTCGAGAATCACTTTACTGATTCATGAATCATGATTCACAAGCCCAACTGACTCACTGACTCATCCCTGTTGCTGTTAGCAGCAATATATCTAGCTTATAATTAAAATTATGGAGAAAAACACAACATCCAGTATCTTAACAAAAAAATTTCTGCTCTGATTTGGAAGAAAAAACCCTGAGTAGAAGCTCACATCAAGAAAATAGCTCCTCGGTTCACAGTAGCATCGCTCTGCTAACATGCTAACAGCACATTTGAGCTACTCACCCCGCCCTTCCTGTGCTGAATCGTAGGGTAA